TCTGGAAGATCATCTCCAGTTCCGTGTAATTTAAGCTAATACTTCACATGTCAATGGGAGAGGTTCAAATAGCAAAAACGTTTTGTTGCTGCAGCTACTCTGGATAGATGTGTAGGAGGAACGCTTGTAGGAGGTGATTATTGATTTCTTTTAAAGAAAAAAAAGGATCTGCAGATGTTCTGTGCTGACAGGGGGGACAGAAAAGTAAACACATTGTAAAAATGTATATTGTCTTACCTGATAAACTTCATGTTTCAACACAACTGACACCAAAGGTGGCCTTGATGTTCTGGCTGCTGACTCACTGTTTACGATCTCCGTTATCACCGTAGCATGAAATGTGTTGCGTCTTCATCTCCTAGCGGTAGTTTCAAGGTGGTTCCTTACCTTGGAACCAAGATCCTGTGTGGAATGTTTAAAAGCTCCTTTTCTTCATTGAATAAACTGTTGAAATCGATTGAAAATTACTTGTTTGTGCTTTCCAGATTTGAACGTTTTCTGGCTCTTAACTATAATGCAAGATAATGTAATTTTTGGGAAAGAAAATTGTTGTTACACTATGTTAAGCCGTTGCTTCTCTAGATATTTCACTGCTAAATTCATCACAGAGAAAAGTAAACAGGTCTGAGGAAAACACTTGTTTGTGATTTATTATAAATTATATTATGTTACGAGGTACTACCTGAAAAAAAAGCAAATAATCTAAATATTTGCTTCTATTTGTCTACAGGCTACGCTCTACAGGGGAGGCTACAGTAGATTTGCCCCTTATTAAAAGACACTACATGTCCCAGGATCTCCCCTCTCCCTTTGAATTATTCCGAAAGAGCTCCCTCTGTTGTCCTGGAGGTGGACTGCGTCCTGTTTTAAAGTGTGGAGTTGACCACAGCAAAGATATTTTAGATCCCACCCCAGAGCAGTCCCTCGTTTTCTTATCTAAGCTTCTACAAAAATAGAGGAATGCTGTATTAAAGACGGAAGGTTCGCCTTTACATGAAAAAAAAAAATTATTTGACTGAAAAACGGCCACCTTCTCTATTGCACGGCTGTATTATAGTCTCCCCCTGTTATCCCCTCGGCACTCAGCAGCACAAGATTTTTGGAACGGAGCCCAGGCGTTCTTCCAAAGGCTGTATGTGGATAATGGACATTTGAGCAGCTGCCTTAGAAGGAGCCGAGCGCCGGCTGGCCTGCACACAGTCTGAGGAAAATGAGAGGGAAGCAGTCTTGAGAGAGGAGTAAGGTGCCTTCAAAGAGAGCACCTGAAGAAGATTTTTGAACCAGAAAGATGAAATGATAAAAGCACCCACTGGTGGATTTTAGAGTCCGTCCTCAATGTCGGCAGATGGTAAATGGATGCATTCCATTCGTGCTGCGTTCTGCTATGACGAAGACTGAACCCAGCATCTTGGAGAAATGATGGAAAGCTGAAGGAGGGAGGGTTTATTAGAGCTGTTCCTTACCTCAAGTTTCTCTTTGTATGTGGAAATGGTAAACCTTTAAACTTAAAAAAATTGTTATGATATGCAAAGAAATTAGTTTAGAGAAAAAAATTACCAAATTTATTATTACTATTATTACTATTGTAATTATTCTCATTCTTCTTAATATAAAACCATTATTTTGTTTGAGACAGCTGCACCACTGTGGTGGAGGTTCATCGATGAAACCTTGGGGGGTGGGGGGCATAAAAAAATGCATCTATATTAAAAACACTCCACTCTTCAGTAATATACCAACTATATCTCACATCTTCTCGGTCATGCACAGAATTTCAAAACACCATCTGTGTGTGGCCATCACAGAACACTGCAAAAAGTGCAACACTACACTGTAAACATTTTCTTGTTAAGTTTACATCCAGTTGGAGATCATCTTGCAGCCCCAGGGGTTGTTCAGGTTTCTGGTGGTCTGTTTCATGTAGAGCTCTATGAATTAGACTTTCCCCCTCATTCTTCATCTTTTATAGAGTCCAGCAATGGATGAGTCTTCCTGAAACATACTTTAGTTGGTAATTGCGTTTTAAGATGCTGCCAACAGCAATTACTGAGCAAGACAGAGATTCCGTTGGTGAGTTGATAGTAAATATTTAAATGCAAAACACATTACTATTGTGCATATTTCTATACTATTGTACCCTATATTTCCAAAATGTGGCTTTTCTTTTGGCTTTTGTTTTTTTTTGTTCCAAAGATTTGTAGAAAGCACATTTTTCTGCCCTATCAATATATATATAAAAATATATTACCTGTGATATTATCATGCTCTTATAGCTGTCTTTATTTACGTTGTTTTCATTGTCTGCCTTTGTTTTTGTTTTTGTTTTTTTTATATATATATAAACGTGTGGTGTTACTTCTCTAGTAAGGTGCAAATTTCAACTTTTACTTTTTTGGCTCGGATGATTATTATTAATTATTGAGCTGAGAGCATACATCAGTAGAGTAATTTAAAGGTATGCAGGTAACGTCACCAAAGTGTTTATTATTTGTCTTTTTTTTTTTTTAATTGGTCATAGGATTTGTTATGACATGTAATCATATTTCACAAATACAAAAAGTGCTCATTTTTGTTTTCCGTTGAGTGTCCGTACGCCATTGGGGTGAATGAGAATAGGTCTGTGGCGCTTTCATTAAATCAGCTTTCTTTTTTTTTTCTATTACATTAGTATTTTGCTTCCTTTGAATGAAGACTCCTTATCATTTCAGTGGATTGTCAGTTTGAATGGCTGAAAGTGTTTTTACTCAAGCTTATACAGGTTGCTGTTCCGGCTCATTGAATCATCTACGTTGTGTACAATAGGATCGTTTCTTAACTGCTTTTTTTCTTTTTTGGTAGGTTTTTTATTTTTGTTTGGTTTTTTCCCTCTCACTTTTATAACTCTTGAGAAAAAAACGTGTTGGACAGTCACATGTTTAGTTTTTGTTTTTTTATTACTTCCCTCTGGTTTGGTATTTAATTTAGAATGTGCTCTAGATTAAATTAAAAAAAAAGGTGCCAGCCAGAGATGTTAAGTTCCCAGCATGTTCTGGTTCCCAACTTGGAAAAGTGCTAGAAAAAAAAATACACGAAGATTGTCTTTTGGAGCCACTAATGGCATGGACAAACCAGCATGAGTGATAGTTGTCATGTTAAAAAAAAAAAAAAAGGGAAAAAAAAAAAACGTTTTGCATGAATCTCGTGAGTTTTCATATTCGAGTCCTGCAGCACCCTCCATCACCACCAACTTCCTGACGGGCAGCTAGGGGCTCGAATCTAGCTGACAACAAAGAGCACAACGTTGTTGGCAAAAAAACAAACAAAAAAAAAACACCGCTTACAAACAAAATGGCTGCTGAAAAACATCGGATATGGCAGCTTCATTTTCCTGTCATGGCTTTCTTTACCCTGTATTATAGAAAACTATGTGGTCCTTCTTCATAGTTGCTATGGTTTCTCAATGAACAGTCCCTTTGTCTTGTCTGTATACCTTTGACTGCCATTGGTTTTTCTCCCTTTTTGTTATTGAATGTCCATATAAAAATGTTTTATATAAAATGTTTCGTTGTGGTTGAGCCTCCTGTTTGTTTTCCTTCTGTCATAACCAACTAAAGAAGTTAAGATTTACTCGGACAACCTCAAGAATTAGGTTCAATACTAACTAATTCAAGTGCTGGTCTATTTGCTCCTTCTCTGTTTTGTACTTTTGCTCTTTTGGTCGTCTCGTAACCAACTCTATGGGGCCAGAAATGGCGCCGTCTATCCCAGGACATTTGGGCCGACATTGGGGCTCATTGTAAAATCTTTGAGAACCAGGAATTCCGAGTAATTTTCTATAGTCTAAGAAAAAGTTGCAATATATGTTTTTCTGTAGGAGGCTGCTCAGAATAACTTTTATCAGGGTCTAATTCAGATGGGGATAAGAGCCCATATATATTGAAACTGGGAGTAATGCAAAGGATTTAGGGAATACTGTACAAATTATATTATACTTGAGATTGGAGCAGACCCTTTATTTCCATTATTCAGAAAAATACTTGACTGCTACGAAGAAAAATTGATTTGCCTTGGTTTTAATACGTGGCTATAAAATATAAGTTTGAAGGGATAAAATTTTTCTGCTTGAGTAAGGTTAGTATATTGCCAAACATTGCCAGTATTGTAACCATCTTTTTTGTGTTGCCACAACTCCTGCAAAACTAGAAACTGCAGAAAAGGTAGTGACCTATCTTTAAAGGAAGTTGAAACATTTTTAACTGTAGAAAACCATCTCAAATATGATAAAGGAATTTTATCCAGACATGTTGATTGTGTTGCATACGTAAAAAAAAAATCAAGTCATGACTTTAAAACTCATGACAATTTTTCCTTTCAAGTGGTAGAAATGGGTTTCCGTACACAATCTAAAAATGAAGGAAATGCGCTCATTTTCACCCACTGATGCACATTTCACACTTCTGATTTACAAGGCATTAACAATTCAAGAGTTCAGAGTTGGAGTGTAAAACAAAGTCTAGTGTAGACTCGGGCAATGACCCCAACTAATTATTTATGTTGGTGCAGAACTTGAAACTGAATTAAGATTTCAACATTGCATCTTCAAAGTAGCTATTTCATGTGTTCTTACACTGTCCTCATGCAGAGCGTTGCATCAAAATTTAAATATTAGAACTATGATATTTTAATCTAATTTTGGCATTAATTTTTTATAAAATGCTAAATATTTATACATCGGTCAGTCATTTTCTACCACTTCTTCCATAGTGGGCAGCAGGGAAGCTGGTGCCTATCTCCACCAATCGATGGGTGGGAGGCAGGGCACACCCTGGACAGGTCACCAGTCCATCTCAGGGCAACACAGACACAAAGGATGAACAACCATGCGCACACTCATTCACACCTAAGGGCAATTTAGAGAGCCCAATTAACCTGACAGCCATGTTTTTGGACTGTGGGAGGAAGCCGAAGAACCCGGAGAGAACCCACGCATGCATGGGGAAAATATGCAAACTCCATGCAGAAAGACCCCCAGCTGGGAGTCGAACCCAGGACCTTCTTGCTGCAAGGCAACAGTGCTGCCAGGCAACAGTGCTGCCAACTGCTCCACCGTTCAGTTGGTAGCACTGTTGCTGTTGCTATCAACTTCAGCAACAGTTGCTGCTTTTTCTCTCAAGTGGAGGGAATTAAGTGAAGATGCCGGTAGCTGTAGGTCCATACGGCCAGACCCAGCCAAGCTGCTTTCACCGGGTCAAGATGGGCTTCATGATGCGGTTTGCAGTAGGAATGGCTGCAGGTGCCATACTTGGTACTTTCTCCTGTCTCAGGATCAGCATGTGGGGCAAGGAGCTGATGGGAGGAGTTGGGAAAACCATGATGCAAAGCGGGGGACCTTCATGGCCATCGGAATGGGCATCCGCTGCTGAGGACAACCATAACCACCTCTTTGTTCTTCAAACAACTGTACAGCCATGTGACTTGTCAAACAACCCTAATCACAGCTCTCTGCAGTCATTTTCCTGACCCAGTCTAGTTTTGTCAATGACGGTTCTAGTTTCACATTTTGATTTAAAATCATGAACTTTTTAACAGTTTTTTTTGCTCAAGCTTGGCATACTATCAGGATCTCCAACCAGCTCATGCCTACTCATGGATATGATGGTTTTGAATGATGGTGAAAGAACATTGAAATTTTTCTTTTGGGACTGAAAATGGCAAGGTTTAGAACAACTCAATCTGGGTTATTCCACTAACCTAGTCCTTAGTCCTTATGGACTGATCCAGTCCCGGGTTGGTTTATGGGTTTGAGATGGCATACTGGGTCAGGTTTTCAACTTTTTAATGCATTACCAAAATTACTGAAGCATACACTTATATTACTTTTAACAGCAGAAACTAGAAGATAAAAAAGATTTTCTCAATGTAATGTCTAATTAAATGTTTATTGATTATAGACAATAAAATTCATGCTTATTATGGAACTTGGGATAAAACTCCATTCTAAAATTATTACAGCTAAAACATTAATATTGTAACACTATTATGAGGAAAAAACTAATAAATATAGCCTAATACCTTAATACTTCTATATTGACTTTATGACCAATTTTATTTCAAGGTATATTGCGGGCGAAAAGAAGCTTGCCAAGTAGTCTGAACTAAAGTCCTTAATTCAACCCACTGACAATAATTTCTTTTTCATCCTGTGGTAGAGATTTGATAAACTCTGATCAGTTCATTGTAGAGTTCAAAATGACTGCCTTTGAAACTAAAGAGGTTCCTGCTAGGCTCTTCAGCATCCCAACAAACCAGGTCACTGTTGGGTCAGTTTGCTTGGCTAGAACATAATGTTACCATTTTTTATTTAATCCTGTGACGAATGGCCAAAGATCTAATTTCCTTTACTAACTAGATTTTTATTATATGGCAAGTAAAAATTTAGGCTTTACAATGTAGAAAAAAAATTAAATAAGACCAAATTCAAGCAATGCCAGCCCTGGGGAACTCAGGTCTGGGTACAAACTTTAATACCGTCCATGTAAATAGTAAATGGACTTCATTTATATAACGCTTGTCTAGTCATACTGACCACTCATTTTACACTAGAGCCACATTCACCCATTTGAACTCACAAACATTCACACGTTCATACATTGATATAATTGGCTGAATTGTTTCAGTCCTCAGGACCAACCCGGTGGAAACCCCAGCCAACGTAACATCCCTGAGGTCATCGGTGTGCCTAATTACAGCACCTTTAATGACACGTACACATAACCAACTAAGAGTAGAAAGTTCTCACATTATTCACTATCAGTCATATTTTACTGTGAAGTTACAGTGTGGAGTTATGTGCTCAAAATGACAATATTTACCATAATAGTGTTTATTAGAACCAGTGCCTGCTATGTCTGTAGTGGCATATACATTCAGAATTCATAAAAATATATACATCTCATCAATAGCTGTACATTAAGTGGAAATAACTCCAAAGAGGTAGGGTGAGAGTTGTAAAAGAGACGGAAAAATGTCACTGAACACTGAACAAAGGAGCACATGCAAAAGTACAAAATACTGGGGGGATAAAGAATTTTGTTACAGATAATGGAGACCTCAGTGAAGCGTATACAACTCAGCAATTACCTATTAGAAGCAGTTTTTGACACTTCTCTGGGATAGGTCTGAGGAAGTTTTTAAGCACTATATCAACAAACAAGGTGAGGTCACTCAGTGGGCAAAGAAGAGCAGGTTGTAAAACATATGGGGAACAGGTGGTTGAAGATTTGGGAATGTTTTCTAGATAATTCCATATTTGGCCAGGTCGCTGAGCTCCATGTCCCCAAAAGCTTCCCATGGACAGATCACTGTGATGTCTGTACCAAGGCCCTCCGTGCCGGGGATGTCGTCGCCAAATCTACAATCAAAAATATGCCTTGACTTCATGGGAATCTTTTTCATTATTGAGCACATTACAGAGACAGAGGAATGTCATTGTGTTCATTTATTAAAAACATTATTTTAACTAAATGCGTGGAATTTCTTAAAGTTAACCAGAATATATGCATTTCCTTAGTCCTTCATTAGTGTGTTACTTTAAATTTCTCATAGCTCCAGGAGGACTATTGGAGTGCCTATAAAGTGTCATCTTGTTTCAGGTCATGCTATTAAATGAGATATTGTTGATTGTTTGGTATTGTAGTTTATTTAATAATGTTGAAGCCCTTTAAACCCCTTGTGGCCGGGTTTTGGAGCCTTGCTCTTGAAGGTGCGAGTTGTCCTCTGCTTGAATTTGGGTGGTACCTTCTTATCGGCAGGTGTTGCAACACCTGCGTCAGGCATTTTTTATATACTGGAAGAGAGAGAACAAGCATTGAATTGGGTAATCTTTTTCTCTAAGACCCTACAGGCCCATATCCAGTGACATAACTCTCCCAGATTAGATCAATTTGTACACCAATGCTTTTTTTAGTCCACTTTAACACCCTGTTATGCAAAGAGCTTAGTCTTTTTTTTTGCACTGGTCAATTAAGAGTTATAGATACCTAACCTGACAGCAGGACTGAAGTTAACAGACTTAGCATACGCCAATATACTTTAGGCATGAGGAGATTTTGCTCTTAACTTTCCGTTTTTTTTGCGTTGTGGAGCTAACATGTCACAGGAAAACTCAGTATAAGACCAGTAGTTGGCTTTTGTTTTTACTCTATTGACCAGAGTTCTTGGATTCTTCTTTAATTTTTAACCTGTAGCATCAAACAATACATTTTAGATTCCCTCATTTCTAGGGCCTCTACGTCTTCAAGTTGGTATTTCTGTATTAAATCCCATCCTGGCAGAGATCCTCCACCAATGTACTACACATGGCAAGTACCTGCTTCGTTCAAAAGTCCGAGATGGCTCCAAGCCCCTTCTAAAAACAATTTTCAAATACCCTATTTTTGATGGTCACAGAAGGTCATATATATATATGTATATATATATATATATATATACACTTTTTTTTTTTTTCACACAGCAAATAACCTAGATATCACTCAATGTTTTATAGAAAATCTGGTAAAATATATACAGATATGTTTTTGTGTACATTAGTTTTTTATTTAATTAAATACCAAAATAAAAACTGCAAAAGATTTATAACTTGACTTAGGCATGAATATACAGTAAAAAACAATTTGATTAGAATTTGACATAAATGTTTATTGGAAATTGCCAATATGACATGTTATAATGTAGCTGCCAGTACTAAGGTATACTAAGGTATCCCCTGACTATTATTTATTTAAAGGGTTAAGACCTAATTTTTTATTTACACTTTATCTAATTAGAGTTTTAATCTGCTGCGTAATAATTACAGAGTGCACTGTGCGTAATTCTGCATTTACTTTCTAGTTTGCATTGATGAAAGGAAGCTCTGTGTTTATTTTGTAGTGTTATTATTTTTATTATTACTATTATTATTAATAAATGGGACATTCATACTACATCAAGTAAACCAGACTTAATTTTACACAGGTGCTAGTTTGCTGTTCTTTGTATCACACTGAACTAAACAAGCAATAATATTAAATAATATGTTAAATTGTTTTCCTCTAAATGTTTGAAAGCTTCTTATCAAACAGACTCAAACATATTTGTATTTAATATTTAGTTGCTATGGCCATCAGTACAAAAAACAAAAACATAATATACAGGGGTTGGACAATGAAACTGAAACACCTGGTTTTAGACCACAATAATTTATTAGTATGGTGTAGGGCCTCCTTTTGCGGCCAATACAGCGTCAATTCGTCTTGGGAATGACATAT